GATAGTAATAACAAAACTTCTGAAATTTCTTCTGCTTCTGAAAACAAGAGCCAACCACTAAACCAATCTCCTTGAAAAATTGTGTTTTCGCTCGGAGCGATAATCCTTACTTTGGGAATAATTATTATTTTTTTTTATTTAAAAAACAAAAGTAAAAATCACAAGAATAATTAGAATTATATTAAAGAGAAACTATGAAAAAAATCTAGAAATTAAGTATAGAGAAAAAAAGTAAGTAGAAAGCAAAAAAAATTTACCAAAAAAATAAAATAAGTTAAAACTATATATATATATATATATCAATATGAATAAAGAAAATAAAATTAATAAAACCTGTAATCAGTGTAAAAAAGCTTTTTCCAGCACCGATATTTATCGAATTGGGATAAAACAGAAAGAGTATTTTTGCCGTGATTGTGCTAATAATATCAAAAGTGAGTGTATGTGGTGTAATAAAGAACTAACCGAGAAAAAATGAGAAAGGCTATGTGAATATAGAATTAAATCCGAGGAAGGAAAGTTAGCCGAAACCATTGACCGGGACAATATAGACGGAGAAAAACCCCACCAGTATTATTTAATTTGTGAAGAAACCCGCGAACATGGAATACGTCCTAATTCAAGTTGTCCGTCGCAATTTAATCAATGGTGAGTGAAAAATAAAGAACAAAAACGCCAAGCCAAATTAAATAAAGGTTGAAAAAAGTGTCAAGGTAAAGCAGTTTGTCATAAAAACTCCACCACTGGAAAAGTAGAATTTGATATGGACTGTTGAAAACTAGTTCCGCCCGGAGAAAAATATTGCAAGAGTGATTGTTGCGTTTATTATACCGCCATTTATAATAATGAAAATTCGGAGGCCCGAAAAAAAATTGCGGATAAATGAAATCAACGCGACTACGCTAAATACCAAAAAGCCAATGAGTGGTGAAATTCATTAAGTTTAGAGGAAAAACAAGCTGAATTAAAAAAGGAAGAAGAACATTTGAAAAGTTTAGGACTACAACGCCAAAGATGCTGAATTGAAAGATTAGATAAAAATAGTATTTTATTTGAAAATGATAAATTGCATTATGATAATATGGATAAAATTCCGCCTTCCTTTTTAGACCGCTTTGGTCTACCCGGTTTTTATTGAGAAAATGTGTGAAAAAATGATAGTGAACTCAATACTTCCCAAGCCCAAGCGCAAAAAGTTGAGATAAGTCAAACGATAAATGAAAAAAAAGTGGTCTGGCAACAAGCCAAACAAAGCGGAGATGATGAATTAGCCGTTCAATTAGAACAACAAATTAAAGAATTAGAAACTCAACAAAATAACAATGCTATTAACCAAAAAACTCAGCCGACTATTAATTATGCTTTATGAACTAGTTTATTAGTTATATTATTAACGGGAATAGGGGGCTTAATTTATTTATTTAACCAAAAAAAGCGAAAAAGCAAGTCAACTAATAATTAATGCCCGATTAATTTAATGAAGCAAAAAAATTTTTATCTTACTACTCCCATTTTTTATCCTAATGCTAAACTCCATTTAGGGCATGCTTATGCCATGACTATGGCTGACCTTATTGCGCGCTATAAAAAAAGTAAAGGATACCAAGTATACTTCCAAACTGGCAGCGATGACCATGGTGAAAAAATTGAAAAAAAAGCCCAAGAATTAGGGATAGCGCCCCAAGCATTAGTAGACCAAAATGTAGCCTTATTTAAAGAGTTATGGCAAAAATTAGGAATTGAATACGATTTTTTTTATCGCACTAGTTCGCTAACCCATAAAGAAAAAGTTCAAAAAATCTTCCTAGAATTAGCAAATAAAGGCGATATTTATTTGAGTGAATATCACGGGAAGTATTGCGTGGCTTGTGAGGATTATGTAAGTAGTAGTAAAGTTTCCGAGAATAACCTTTGCCCTGCTCCTAGTTGCCAGTCGGAATTAAGCAAGATTAGCGAACCGGCCTATTTTTTGAAAGTTAGCAAATATTATCAGAAGTTAATCAAATATTACTCACAAAATCCTGATTTTCTTTTGCCTCCTAACATCAAAAAAGAATTATTTGAAAATTTTCTCAAAAATGATATCCGGGATTTATGTATTACCCGCCGTGATATTAAATGAGGAATTCCCGTTCCTAACCAGGAGAAAATGGTGATTTATGTTTGATTTGAGGCTTTGCTGAATTACCTTAACTCCGAACCCGGAGAAAAATTTTTCCTTCCCGAAGTTTCTGAAAAAAAAGAAATCAATCATGCCAAAGAAGTCGCTTGTGTGGCTATTCAAGACAAAAACAATAATTATCTTTTGGTTTACAATAAAAAATTTGGTGGATGGCAGTTTCCAGGTGGTAAATTAGAAAAAGGGGAAAATGCCATGGAAGCAGCCAAAAGAGAAATATTTGAAGAAACTAATTTAGTAGTTAAGGACTTAGAGAAAATTGGGGAAAAGAATTTTTATGTTAATGACCAGTGGTGAAAATTTTATTTTTATCGAACCGACCAGTATTCAGGACAATTACTGATTAAAGAAAAAGAAACCATTGAAGAAATTAAATTTTTAGAACTAAGCAAAATACAAGAAATTAACCTCCAAGACCACAATGAAGTAACCAAATACTTGCTGGAAAAAATCACCAATAAAAACCTAACTAATTGCGAAATCGTTCATCTTATCGGGAAGGAAATTACTCGTTTTCATGCGATTTATTGACCCATTATGCTTTTTGCTTGGCATAAGCGATTACCAAACCAAATACTAGCTCATGGTTGATTAACTACCCCCCAAGGAAAAATGAGTAAAAGCAAAGGGAATGTTATTGACCCCTTAAAATTATTAGAAAAATATACTGCTGATTTACTTCGGGCTTATTTTGTAGTTAAAATTGTTTTTTTACAAGACGGAGTTTTTTCCGAAGAACTATTAAAAAAGTTTTATCAAGAGTTTTTTGTGAATAATTTAGGTAATCTTTGTGCACGGGTGGAAAAAATGATTGAATTATATAACAACGGTAGTGTTCCAGCTTTTACGAAAACTGAAAATTCTTATTTAAAAGAGTATTATCAAACCCTTTTGTTAACTATTAATGAATATCAAAAATTAATGGATAATTATCAATTAACCGCTGCTTTTCAAAAAATTCAGCATCTGCTCGATTTGAGTAATAAATTAATTCAAAAATTAGAACCTTGAAACTTGTTTAAGGAAAAAAAACTAGAACTATTAAACACCACTCTTAATTATTTAACTAATGGAATTAAAATTATTGCTTTTTTATTAAATCCAATTGCTCCGGAAAGCAGTCAACTCATTTTTAAGCACCTAAATTTAAATTATAAAGATTGCCACTGAGACAACCTTCAAGATTTTAACCAAATTGAGGGTAAACAAGTAAAATTGTCAGATAAACCATTGTTTTCTCGCTTTTAGAAAAAATAATAAAAAACTTTCTTAATGGTTTAAAAAGGCGTTTTTCGAAATTCGCCATAAGTAATAATTTTACTTTTGTAAATCTAAAATTAAATCGCGATACTCGGCTGCTTTGTCAAACTCAAACGCTTGGGCCGCTTTTTTCATTTTTCTTTTAAGCAAACGAATTTCTTTGTTTAATCTTTGGGAGGTTCATTTTTGTTCTTGTTTCTTTTTTCGTAGAGCCGTTAAACGAGGGTCTAAAAAAAATATCTCTTTTTGGATAGTCTGCGGAATAATTTTATTGGCTTTATTATGAGTTGCTTGAATAAGGCGGCGGCGCTGGGTTTCGGTCATCGCTGCTCGCATATTAGTAGTAATAATATCGCCATAAAGAATGGCTCGTCCGTTTTGGTGTCGGGCTACTCGACCGATAATTTGAATAAGTGAACGGGTATCCCGTAAAAATCCTGGTTTATCGGCATCTAAAACACAAATTAAAGAGACTTCGGGCATATCTAAGCCTTCTCGCAAAAGGTTAATTCCTACTATCACGTCATAAACTCCTCGGCGAAGACTAGCAATGGCTTGATTGCGAGCAAAGATATCTAGTTTGCTATGTAAAAAAATGGCTTTAATGTCTCGTTGGTTAAGAAAATAAGCAATGTCCTCGGCCATTTTGATGGTTAAAGCATAAATAATGGTTTTTTCGTTTTGGATAATTTGTTGCTTAATCAATTGAATAATATCTTCAATTTGCCCTTTGGTAGCACGAACTTCTATAACTGGGTCTAAAAGCCCGGTAGGGCGGATAATTTGTTCAACTAACTTGTAGTTAGTTTGGGCTAATTCATAAGGTCCAGGCGTGGCCGAAGTATAAATTACATTTGCTAATTTACCAGCAAATTCAGTAAAGTTCAAAGGTCGGTTATCCAAAGCCGAAGGCAAGCGAAATCCATATTTTACTAAGGTTTTTTTGCGGCTATGGTCGGTATTATACATTGCCCGAATTTGAGGAATGGCTAAATGAGATTCATCAATAATAGTTAAATAATCGTCAGGAAAATAATCTAATAAAACATAAGGGCACTCTCCGGGTTGACGACCATCAAAATAACGAGCATAATTTTCAATCATGGGACAAATTCCCGTCTCTCCTAAGTTAAGCAAATCTTCGTTAATTCGGCTTTCTAACCTTTGGGCTTCTACTAACTTTGCTTGCTGCTTAAACTGATTAATTTTTTCTTTTAATTCTTGCCTTATTTCCCCTAATATAGCAACTAAACTTTTATTTTCTTCTTCGGTTAAATAAATGTATTCACGGGTGGGGGGGATGAGAATATTTAACTTATTTTCTTTTTCCCCTTCTTTAATTGAAGAACATTTTTCAATACTGCTAAGGTGTCCCTCTTTAACTTCTAACTGTCAATAATAATTTTCTTCTCAAACAATTTTCAAAATTATTTTATCTTTTTCAACTAAAAAACAGCCCTCTTCTAATTCTAAACAGTGTGAATTATACCCTAGTTTAGTTAAGCCAATCGCTATTTCCTGCTGGCTTATTGCTTGTCCTACATTTAGTTCTAAAACGGCTCGCCGATAAGAATTTGGATCAAAACATCCATAAATGGCAGCCACCGAGGCTACTACAATTACCTTTTTTTCCGTTACCAAGGAATTTAAAGTTCTTAGGCGCATTCGCTGAATATTCAAATTAACTTGGGTTTTTTTGCTAATATAAGTGTCGGAATGAGGTTTATAAGCTTCGGGTTGATAATAATCAAAATAAGAAACATAATATTCAACTTTATTGTGGGGGAAAAAATTTTGCATCTCTTGATAAATTTGCAAAGCAAGGGTTTTATTAGGAACTAAAATTAAAGTTGACTTTTGAGTTTGGTGAATGACATTAGCCATGGTGAAAGTTTTGCCGGTTCCGGTAGCTCCTAAGAGCACTTGCTGTTTTTGATTTTTTTGGATTCCATGAATTAACTTTTGAATAGCTTCAACTTGGTCTCCGCGGGGTTTTAAATCAGTAGAAAGTTGAAACATGAGTTATAGTAATTTTTTCGCTGTAAGTGTTATTTATAAAAAGAAAAATTAAGAAAAATGCGACAGTTCTTTGGACTATTTTTTGCCTTAATTCCTTTTGAGTGAAAATAAAGTAGTTTTATTTAAAATTTAAAATTTATTATACAATGCAAAGAAAGGCAGCTGCTGACCACTATAAATGAAATTTTTCTTCCCTTTTTGCTAATCCGCAAAGTTGAGAAAAAGCGTTAAATAATTTAGACGAAACTACTCAAAAAATAATAAACTTAAAAGGCGGATTAAATAAACTGGAATTTTTTACTCAATATCTCCAAAAAGAAAAAGAATTATCCTTTAAATTAGCTAAATTAGGACAATATTTACATTATGCCGACCTCGATTTAACTAACCTAACTTTTCAAAAATTAACCACCTTGTATACTAGTAAATGTAACCATATATCTACTTCTCTGGCTTGAATTGAACCTGAATTGAAAAGAATTGGTTCAGCAATAATAATGAAATGAGTCAAACAAAATAAAGATTTACAAACTTATCAACATAAATTTACGGTATTTTTTCGGCTCGATAAATATGTTTTAGAGGAAGAAAAAGAAAAATTATTGAGTCAAGTAAATATTTCGCGGCATATTTCCGCTGAAATTTATGATACATTGGCTTACGCTGACCGTCAACCAGTTTTGCTTGATTATAAAGGGCAAAAACAAGAGTTAACTTTGGCTTTGTATACGGAAATTATGGAAAAAACTCATCCGACCGAAGACCAAATCTTTCGCCATGAGCTTAACCAAAAATGAAATATGCATCTTCATGAAAAAAAGCACTCTTTGGCCAAAGTCTATGAGGGAACTTTACGAACGGGGGTTGAAGAGTTAACTATCCGCGGTTATCCATCCACTTTGGCTATGGGTTTACTGGTTGATAAGGTGACTAGTGAAATTTACGAGAATTTAATTCAAGTTGGGCAAACCAACGCTAAATTTTATCGTGAATTTCTCCAAATAAAAAAAGAGTATTTTGGTTTAATTAAATTTTACGCAACTGATGCGAGTTTAAAAATAGCTCAACCGCCTAAGCATAAATTCACAGTTGACGAAGCAGTGGTTTTAATTAAAAAAGTTCTCAAAATTTTGGGTCCAGAATACCAAGCAAAATTAATTTGGGCTCTGCGACCGGGAAGAATTGATTATTACGAAGACACTAACAAACGCGAAGGAGCCTATTCTTCGGGTGGAGATGGCACAGACCCCATTATTTTAATGAATTGAGATGGGACATTAAATTCAGTCAATACTTTAATTCATGAACTAGGTCATTCAGTCCATACTTTATTGGCTGAGCAAAACCAAGCTTACCCTAATGCTCGTTATCCTATTATTTTAGCAGAAATAGCTTCTACCCTTAATGAGCATTTACTTTTTGATTATCTTTACCAAAACAGCCAAACTAAAACAGAGAAAATTTATTTGTTACAAAACCGAATTGAAGAAATTATGGGTACTTTTTTTCGGCAAATTCAATTTGCTAAGTTCGAATGAGAAGCTCATAAACTAGCAGAAAAAAATATTCCGCTCCACGCCGACAAATTGGCCGACTTATTTCACAAAATCAATGTAGAATTCGGTGCAGATGTTCTCGACCAAAAAGCACCTGACAAAAAAAATTATGCTTGACCGCGAATTTCCCATTTTTTTCATTCTCCTTATTATGTCTATAAATATGCAGTAGCAATTACAGTTTCCTTTCAACTTTACCACGACATAAAAAATAATAAAATTGACAATTTGCTGAATTTCCTTAAAGCTGGCGGGCATAAAGACCCCTTAGAGATTTTGGGCGATATAGGCATTTATTTAAATAAAACTGAAATTTACCAACCACTATTGGCTAATTTACAAACAATGCTTCGGGAATGAAAAAACTTGCTAAAAAATAATTCAACCAGCAATTTACATTAAAAAAGTTAATAGAGATAAAAATGGAATTTAGAATAGATAAAGAAGTTATTAATTGAAAAGTCAACTTTAATCCAGACCTTCTTTTTTTAATTTTGGATAAGTCGGCTTATTTACTAGTGCTTAATTGAAAAGAAAAGTTAAACCAAAAATATTCAACTGTTTGTAATTTAGAAATCAAAAAAATAAAAAATATTCTCAAACACATTAATTACTATTCTCCGCGACTGGTTATTATGGTCGGTCAAAAGGAATTAGAAACTAACCAAATATTAGCCAAAGATTGTCAAAAAAAGAGAGAATTTAAGATCGATAAAGAAGAGTTGGTCAATTGAGTTTATGATTATTTATAGTAAAGACCTTTTATTCATAGTTTTTTAAAAATATTATAAATGACTTCTTCCAAAATTAAAGATACGCTTTTTTTACCCAAGACTAATTTTCTGCTCCGTCAACTCAACCATCAAGCAAAAGAGAAAGAAATAAGAGAAAGGTGAGAAAAAAACCAGATTTATCAAAAAAGATTAGCAAAAAATCAAGGTAAAGAGCCTTTTATCCTCCATTCTGGTCCGCCTTATGCCAATGGTAAAATTCACTTGGGTCATGTATTAAATTTTCTGATTAAAGATATTATCGTCCGTTCCCGAACCGCCGAAGGCTACCCTACCTCTTTTTTGCTGGGTTGAGATACTCATGGTTTGCCTATCGAGCACAAAATGCTACAAAAATATCCTAATGGAAATGTAAATTTGCGTCAAGCCTGCCATAATTTCGCCTTAGAGCAGGTGCAATTGCAAAAGGAACAGTTAAAAGAATTAGGACTTTTTACTAATTATGAGAAATATTATCTTACCTTGGATAAAAATTATGAAGCAGAGCAGATACGAGTTTTTGGAGAAATGGTTAAAAAAGGTTTAATTTATCAAGGCTTTCGGCCTATTTATTGGTCGTGTGGTCATGAAACTGCCTTGGCCGGAGCGGAAATAGAGTATTATCCCAAAAAGGACACCTCGCTTTATTTTAAAATCAATTCGCCTGAAATTGCCCAT